GTACCTTTTATCACAAGCCAAGTTTCCCCCCTCTATTATTAACCCTGTCGTTTCTGACCTACATTGGCTTCTGGTCTAAAAATAAAATTCATATCCACTTGGTAAATTGCTTAGATGCCATGTGTTGCTGTAGATTAACATTTCTTTCTCAAACTTTTTCACTGTCATTTTTCACCTGCCCAGACTTACTGTGTAAGTTTTGAAAAGTTTTGGGTGGCACAGTGGCTCAGTGGTTAGCACTGCTGCCTCACAGCGCTGGGGGCCCAGGTTTGATTCCACCCTCAGGTGACTATCTGTGTGGAGTTTGCATGTTCTCCCTGTTTCTGTGTAGGTTTCCTCTGGGTGCTCCGGTTTCTTCCCACAGTCCAAAGATGTGCAGGCTAGGTGGATTGGCCGTGCTAAATTGCCCGTAGTGTTCAGGAATGTGTAGCTTAGGTGGGCTACAGGCAAAAGGGGTGTTGGGGATGGGTTTGGGTGGGATGCTCTTCAGAGAGTCGGTGTGGACTTATTGGGCCAAAGGGCCTGTTTCCACACTTTAGGGATTCTATGAACTGTGCTAGATGACGTCTTAACCACCCTGTCTACCTGTGACACAACTTTCAAAGAATTATGTACCTTAACCCCTAGGTGTCTCTGTCTGATAACACTACCCGAGGCCCTACCATTAACTGTGTAAGTCCTGCTCTATTTATTTTATCAAAATGCAATACCTTGCATTTATCCAAACAAAACTCCATCTGCCACTCCTCAGCCCATTGGCCCAATTGATCAAGATCCCTTTGTAATCTTAGATAACCTGCTTCACAGTAGACTATACCATCAATTTTGGTGTCATCCACAAATTTACTAATCATGCCTCCTAAATTCTCATTCAAATTGTTTATGTAAATGACAAACAAAAGTGGACACAGCGTCGATTTCTACAGAAAACCACTGGTCATAGGCCTCCAGTCTGAAAAACAACCATCCACCATCACCTTCTGTCTCCTACCGTCAAACCAATTTTGTATCCAACTGGCAATCCCTTCCTGAATCCCAAATAATCTAACTACTAGTAGTACTAGATGATTGGAGGGTGGCAAATGTTATTCTCTTGTTCAAGAAAGGGAATAGGGATAATCCTGGGAATTACAGATCAGTCAGTCTTATTTCTGTGGTGGGCAAATTATTGGAGAGGATTCTGAGAGATAGTATTTATGATTATTTGGAAAAGCACAGTTTGATTAGAAATAGTCAGCATGGCTTTGTGAGGGGCAGGTCATGCCTCACAAGCCTTATTGAATTCTTTGAGGATGTGACAAAACACATCGATGAAGATAGAGCAGTGGATGCGGTGTATATGGATTTTAGTAAGGCATTTGATGAGGTTCCCCATGGTAGGCTCATTCAGAAAGTAAGGAGGCATGGGATTCAGGGAAATTTGGCTGTCTGGATACAAAACTGGCTGTTCAAAAGAAGACAAGAGGGTGGTAGTAGATGGAAAGTATTCAGCCTGGAGCTCGGTGACCAGTGGTGTTCCACAGGGATCTGTTCTGGGACCTCTGCTCTTTGTGATCTTTATAAATGACTTGGATGAGGAAGTGGAAGGGTGGTTTAGTAAGTTTGCCGATGACACGAAGGTTGGTGGAGTTGTGGACAGCGTGGAGGGCTGTTATAGGTTGCAACGGGACATTGACAGGATGCAGAACTGGGCAAAGAAGTGGCGGATGGAATTCAACCCAGAAAAGTGTGAAGTGATTCATTTTGGAAGGTCGAATTTGAATGCAGAAATGAGGGTTAATGGTAGGATTCTCGGCAGTGTGGAGGAACAGAGGGATCTTGGCGTCCACGTCCATAGATCCCTCAAAGTTGCTACCCAAGTTAATAGGGTTGTAAAGAAGGCGTACGGTGTGTTGGCTTTCATTGGCAGGAGAATTGAGTTTAAGGTCTGCGAGGTTATGCTGCAGCTCTATAAAACCCTCCTTAGACCACACTTGGAATATTGTGCTCAGCATAGGTCGCCTCATTATAGGAAAGATGTGGAAACTTTAGAGAGGGTGCAGAGGAGATTTACCAGGATGCTGCCTGGACTGGAGGGCAGGTCTTATGAGGAAAGGTCAAGGGAGCTAGGGCTTTTCCCATTGGAGCGAAGAAAGATGAGCGATGACTTGATAGAGATGTACAAGATGATGAGAGGCATAGATAGAGTAGATAGCCAGAGACTTTTTCCCAGGGTGGAAATGACTATTACAAGGAGGCATAATTTTAAGGTGATTGGAGGAAGGTATGGGGAGATGTCAGAGGTACGTTCTTTACACAGAGAGTGGTGGGTGTGTGGAATGCACTGCCAGCAGTGGTAGTGGAATCAGATACATTAGGGACATTCAAGCGTCTCTTGGATAGGCACATGGATGATAGTAAAATGTAGGATATGCTGGGTAGTTTGAGTAGGATAATAGGTTGGCACAACATCATGGGACGAAAGGCCTGTACTGTGCTGTACTGTTCTACGTTCTACTGATTAGTCTACCATGCAGGACCTTGTCAAAGGCTTTACTAAAGTCCATGTAGACAAGGTCTACCGCTTTGCCCTCATCAATCCTTTTGGTTATGTCCTTAAAAAACTCAAGTAAGTTTGTGAGAACCATTTTCCCAAGCACAAAGCCATGCTGACTATCCCTAATCAGTTCTTGCCTCTCCAAATGCATGTAAATCCTATCTCTCTGAATCCCAACCAACAATGTATCCACCACTGATGTCAGACTCACCAGTCTATAGTTTCCAGGCTTCTCCTTAGAGCCTTCCTTAAATAAAGACATAACATTTGCTACTCTTCAGGGGCTCCAGTGGCTATAGATGATAGAAATATCTCTGCTGGGACCCCCACACTTTCTTCTGTAGCTTCCCAAAATGCCCTGGGATATATTTGATCAGATCTGGGAGATTTATCCACCTTTATGTTTTTTAAGACCTCCACCACCTCCCCTGCTGTGATGTTTTCGAGAGATCAATATTTATTTCCCCCAAGTTCTCTAGCCCCTACTTCTTTCTCCACAGGAAAAACTGATGCAAAATATTTGTTTAGTATCACCCATCTCGTGTGGTTCCACACATAGACAGCCTCGTTGATATTTAAGGGGTCCAATTCTCTCCCTAGTTGCCCTTTTGCTCTTAATGTATTTGTAGAATCTCTTTGGATTATCCTTAACGTTGTCTGCCAAGGCTATCTCATATCCACTTTTTGGTTTTCCTCTTAAGAATGTCCATACACCCCTTTTACTCTTCAAGAGAATTACTTGATCCCATTTGTCTATACCTAATATATGACTCCTTCTTATTCCTGACTGGACCCTCAATATCACTATTCATCCATTGTTCCCTACTCTTACCAGCCTTGCCTTCACTCTAACAGGAACATATTGCCTCAGAACTCTCTGTAATCTCACTTTTGAAATCCTCCCACTTACCAGTCGTCTCTTTACCTTGCGAACAATCTACTCTAATCAATTTTTGAAAGATCCTGTCTCACGCCATCAAAATCTGTCTTACTCCAATTGAGGATTTTAACTTTTATAAAAGGCCTATCCTTTTCCATAACTATTTTAAAACTAATAGAATTGTGACCACTGGTTCCATTGTGCTCCCCCACTTACGAACACTATTGCAGTCGCTGAGCCTGGTTCATCAAGCTTGACCCCAGTCACCCCCCAAAATTCATTGGACATAAAGGCTTTCTCCCTTTTAACATTAGTGAGGTATTTTCTGAGAGTCTGTAGGAGGCTGTCTTGAGTAGTTACAGTTCCAACTGTCCTATTAGTAAGAGGCATTCATGACTGTCCCAAAGCTATATCCTGTTGTAACATGCATGAATTTCTGAGAAACAGAGTGCATTAACTTACACCATCCACCTTCCTTTCTCCTTCACAAACCCCTCACCACTCCAGCTCTACAAAGGGTTGAGTTCCTAGGGCAGGTCAAAGACAGGAAACGTGTTTCCTTTTTCACTACCTGCGGTCTCTCCAAAGGGGACAAATCAAGTCCATCAAACAAATGCAAAATACTACAAATGCTGGAAATGTGAAATAAAAACAAAGAATGGATAAACACAGCAGGTCTGGCAGCATGTATGGAGAGAGACACAGAGTTAATATTTTGAGTCTGAAATGACACTTCTTTGAAACAGAAAGGAGCTGGAAAACCTACCAGCTACTCAAAACATTGACATTATGTGCTTTTTGTCTTTAGTGTCTGCCAGCTCCACACTGCAAACAAGAACCACACATTGTTGATTAAATTGGGACAATTGTCCAAAGGTTCTGCTATTGTGGTTTTTTTTGATAAATGTGGTACGACAATATGAAGTGCAAAGTCATCTTGCCTAAGGAAATTGCATTAAGTGTACCAATGACAAGGTATTAGAAAAACAGTTCTATTAAAATCTTATGACATCAATGTTCTACAGTACACTAAAAATTACACTTTTTTCGACACAAAAGGTTAAACTGCAATAGTCCCAAATGACCACAGGGCTGCTCTGTCATTATAGAGAGAGAGATGACTAGTGGTGGTTTAACCTGCCTCATCTCAGCCCTGAATGAGCAGCCCCTTAGCCTGAGACTGTGCCATTCTGTTCTTGATTCCCCAGATAGGGGGAAGCGCCTCTCAATGCCGATCCAGTCAAGCCTCCTCAGGATCTTGTACGTTTCAATGAAATCATCTCTGTCTTTCTAAGCTCTGAGTATAGAGACCCAACTAACTCAGTTTCTCATCATTGGACTACCTTCTCATAACAGGGATAATTCGAACAAACCTTCATGATACAGCTCCCAATCTAAGTATTTCCTTCCTCAGATGTGGAGATCAAAACTGTGTGTAGTACTCCATCTGGGGTCGCACCAAAACCCTGTACAATTGTAGCAAGATGGCCTTATTCTTGCATTCTGGTTATTCCAGTTTGCAAATAACATCCCACATGCCACCTGCCATCTTAACTTTTTGCTCTGATGAAGAGTCATCTAGACTCGAAACGTTAGCTTGCTTTCTCTCCATGGATGCTGACTGGCCCACTGGGATCTCCAGCATTTTTTGTTTCCAGTACACATTCCAGTATCTGTATTAATTTGCCTCTTGATTTTTTTACAGTACCTGCTAGCTTGTGATCCTCGTGAAAACACAGCAATGCTCTCCGGGCATCAATACTTTGAAGTTTCGAGCCTTTAAAATAAAAATTTGTTTTCCTGCCCTTACTACCAAAGTGAATAACCTCGCACTTCCCTGTATTATATTCCATTTGCGCCTTGATGCCCACTCACCTGCCCTGCAGTTTATGTTTGTCCTCCTCACAACTTACACTCTCACCAGCCTTTGTGCCATCGGCAAATATAAGTGCACACATAGATACTCTGTCTCTTTGTTTAAGTTATTCGTGTAGATTGTAAACAGCTGAAGTTAGTGGCAGTCGACTGGTTGCAGCTTGTCTTGGAAAATGCCCTGTTTTATCCCTACTTTCTGCAGTGCGAGAGGGGAGCGCACTTGGGCTCAAGAGCCAACACAGGCACTCAGGGCCGAGTGGCCTCCTTTCGGGCTGTATCTGGGGAGTGAGGGTGGGAAAGGGGCTGGATTTAGTCGGATCTAAGGAGTTGAAATGCTAAGTTGATGATGAATAAGGTAATGAGCAAAACAGAATCTGAATGGACCATGAAGGTGGAGGTGAAACTCTGGACTGGAGTTAATTAAAAAAGTTCAGTTACTTGGCTGCTGGACCTCCGGCGGTGTGCTGCTGTGTCCCGGCTGCTTTTCCTCGAGATGTCTGTGCTGTCTCCGGAGGAGCTCATCCCTTCTTTCTGGTTCATTCTCGCTCGGTCACACGGGTCCGGTCAAGGTCGGCGGCGGCGACTTTCGAAATGCAGCCCCGCCGTTCGGAATCGGAACGCTCCCCCGTGCCGGACCAGGGAGAATCCAGGCCGGGGTTTGGGGCTTTCTTCACCCATTACCTCGCCGCACCGCCACCAGCTTCCAAAACGCAGAACCTAAAGAGAGGAGGGAGCTCGCAACGCTGAGAGGGAATTTGCTGAGTTTCAGTCTCCAGCCTCTCCCCTCTGCAATTTGGTCTCAACTTGTGGGGAAAGTGCAAGATAATTGCCTAAAATGCTTAAAAACCCCGGCAGGATGCGATAACGTCAGCTTTCCCGCTCCTCGGCCTGCTGTGTTCATCCAGCATCTACACCTTGTTATCTCTCTTCTCTTTATAGCATCTTCATTTTCTCCTTTTGGTTTGGGATGTGGGTGTTATCTCATGCCCAGCTCTTGTCCAGGTGGTGAGCCGCCTGTTTGAACAGCTACAGTCCATATGGTATGAATATGTGCCAGGATTTTGACCCGAAACTTGCAAGTAGTGTTACCTGGATGTTCGAGGTTGTGGGTTTGGAAAATGCTATCTAAGGAGCGTTGGCACTTGCCCCAGTGCAACTTATAGAATCCTTACAGAGGCTGTTCACAGTCTCACTGACCCTCCAGTGAGCATACCACCCTATCCCCACGGCCTGTCTTCCACCTAACCAGCACATCTTTGGACTGTGGGAGGAAACCAGAGAACCTTGGGGAGAATCTACACAGAGAGAGAGTCGCCTGAGGGTAGAATCGAACCTAGTTCCTGGCGCTGTGAGGTGGCAGTGCTAACCACTAAGCCACTGTGTCACCCCAGTGAGTCAAAATGCTTGGCACAGTAAGTCAAGGGTGGACTCAGATACCAGTCCAGGAGCTGAAGGTCAGTCAGCCTCTTGTGATCCTTTGCTCATAAGAGTTATAGATGGTGCACGTTGCTGCTGTGCATCGCTAGTAAAGGGAGTGACTATTGAAGATGGCGGATGGAGTAGCAGTTAGGTGAGGATTACAAATTGCAGTGCTAGGTTTAAGTTGCAGAGATGCTGTGAATGTAGCACCCACCCCAAGGGCTGCACCAGAGTATAAATTCTTCGTGCTGTAATGGGACCTCGAGCAGCAGATCCCATTGCTAGAGGGACCTGCTAGCAATGGTGGGTAAGTAGGAGGGTCACTGAGCAGGGCAACTGAAGCAGCCAGATGACCCTGCTCTGGAAGAAAAGATGTCTTTTGGGGTGGAAGGAGGTCTTATGGGGAGAAGGATTACACAAAGAATTCTGTCAAACCATTTGTAAACCACAGGCTTAATTCCAAAAGGATATCATATCTTTATTGTTTATCCTTAATTTCCGTCCCTATTGGTACTGACCTGATTCCAGTGGAATAAAGAATCCCTGTTTGATGATCTTTGGGCTGAACCAAATTATATTTAAATCTCACATTACAGGGCATGTCTTTCAGATGAGATGTTGGATACTCTGGTTGTGGGAGCTTGCTGTGCAGAAATTGGCTGCTATATTTCCTACATTACAACAGTGACAACATTTCAAAACTACTTCCTTTGCCTGTTGGGACTTTGGAACATTCTGACGTTTTGAAAAGTGCTATATAAATGCAAGTCTATTTTATCAACAGACTGAATTCATCCTGGACTTCAATGATGTCCTCTGCCTGCCTGTTTCCTACATTTCAGTAGTGCTATACAAATGCAAATCTTTTGTTAGAAAGGCAGGGGAAGAGATGAAGGGAACAGCAAATGCACATTGGGCTTAAGACCGGCCCTTGTGTAGAGTCTAAAAACACGGTGTTTGGATTAAATGGCTTTTTTCTCCTCTTGTGAGACCGATGTTATTGTGTGTGGTGTCAATATAATGATTCTGGGTCTACTCCAGGACCTTTTTTCGGACAAGGTCTTACATTGAGGGGCCTCAGCAACATTTTACAACTCATGGGACATGAATAATTGGGACTGGGGCTTTTCTGTTATACTGATTCACAGGATGTGAACATCCTGGGACTTGGTAAGTTGGATACAAAGTTGGCTTGGTTATAGAAGACAGAGAGTTAGTTGGAGAGGGGTCTTTCTAATGACTGGAGGAGCTCCTCAAGGATCAATGCAGGGACTTCTGTTGTTTGCAATATATGTAAGTGATTTGAATGATCTGATTAGTTTGTTTACAGAAGACATGAAAATCGGTGGAGTTGGGGATGGCAAGCAGGATCGTCAAAGGACACAGCAGGATGTAGATCAGTCGGAAAGTTGTGCGAAGAAATGGCAGATGCATTTAATCTGGACAAGCATGAGGTGATGCATTTTGGGAGGTCAAATGCTAGAGGAAAGTATACATTAAATGGCAGGATCCTCAGATGCATTGATGAGCAGAGGGATCTTGGGGTGCAAACCCATAGCTCCCCAAAAGTGGCAGCACAAGTGGATAACGTGGTAAAGGCATATGGCAGGCTTACCTTCATCTGCCGAGGCATTGAGTATAAAAGTTGGCAAGTCATGCTGCAGCTGTATAAAATTTTAGGTAAGTCACACTTGGAGTGGTGTGCGCAGATCTGGTCACCACTATAGGAAGGACGAGGAAGGTTTGGAGAGGGAGATGAGGTTTACCAGGATGTTGCCCAAATTGAAGTGTATTAGCTACAAGGAGGGGACGCACAAACTTGAATAGTTTTTGCAAGACTGTCCGAGGCTGAGGGGACAAACTGATCGAAGTATATTAAATTATGAGTCACACGGATAGTCGGAGTCTTTTTCCCCCAGGGTGGAAATGTCAAGTACTAGGGGGTGTAGGTTTAAAGTGAGAGGTTGAAAATTTAAAGATGTGTGAGGCAAGTTTTTTTTTAATGCAGGGGGTGGTAGGTGCCTGAAATGCGCTGTAGGGGTGGAGAGTGATGGTAGGAGCAGGCATGTTAGCAGTGTTCAAGAGACATTTAGACAGACACATGAACAGACAGTGAATAGAGGGTACAGACCACATGTGGGTAGATGGGATTAGTTAAAAATGGCACCATGGTCATCACAGACATTGTAGGCTGAAGGGTCTGTCCTGTTCTCTGTTCATTGGGAAGATCAGTATTTATTGCCTTTAAGTAGGTGGTGATAAGCCATCACTTTCATTGCTGCAGTTCATCACATACAGGCAAGGAGTTCCAATATATTGATCCAGCAGCAATGAAGGGAAATAGATTGATGTCCTTTCCCACACATCTTAGTTTCCTTTCCTCCAATTCCACTGTAGTCACTGTTATGCAATAGTCTCAGGAATATTTTATAAACCTGTGCAAATTTGTTTAAAGTTAATTATGCAAGGAATTTACATTGTTGCAACAGTGGAAGATTTAAGTCCAAATGACAACTTTTCCACAATTACAAGAATCAAATCAACAAGAGATTAATATGAACAGAAAACGTTGGTAATTCTCAGCAGACCGGACAGCATTACTGCCAGAGTCCAACCCACAGACCATTTATAAACAGGTCTGGAACTAACCTGGTCAGCCAAGGGTGGGGCTTTTGACTTACTGTCTGGGTCAAATGCACTAGTTGGCCAGGCCCTACATCTCTGTGTCCAACAGGCTGGCCACATGATTACACAAGACCACTCATTCTCGCCACGAGCAGAAGTTCTGCTCACTTCTGCGTCCGTCAATGGGACTCCGGTGGCTGGAATTGAATTCTGCCCATCGTCTTATTTAAGCTTTGTCTTCACCACAGCCTCTTAACTCTAGCTAAGATAACTTTAGGATCACAGACTGTACGCTTCCCCAGAGATGTTGATGTTCTCATCTTTCCACCTATGAGAGATGCAGCATTTAAGTAGACTCAGAGGCTTGGGGTTCATCATTTTGTGCACCTTTGCTGGTGGCTGTGAAGTGGTGTTCTTCAGAGGCAGCTGTTGCCACAAGCACCACACAAAGCTGCCAACTGACACCAAGAGCTGTTGTTTTCAGTGTTGTTGCCTGTTGCCAAGTCACTACTGTCATCATGATGCATGCTAGCCCACACTAGGTGTTGCCATTTCCCTCTTTCACCAGGTGTCTCCCAGGCACAACTCAGTTTAAGGCCTACATGTCATTGTCACAACGTCAGAAATCACACGACACCAGATCATAGTCCAAAGGTTTATTTGAAATCACAAGCTTTCAGAGCCTCAGTCCTTCTTCAGGTGTTAGTGAGAGAGGTAGTATCAGACACCGACTTTATAAGTAAAAGATCAAAGGTTCACACCATTGATGAGAATGTACTAAACAAACCTAAGATGCTGTTAAATATTTAATCAGTTAGAAGATTTTAATTGATTAATACGTATATGTAAATCCCCGAATTCCTTTCAAGTCACTGCCCTGAGAGAACTAAAGGTTTTATCAGTGTAAAGAAGAGGTGACATTTTAGGTCAGACAATGCACGTTCTAAACAAGGTCTCATACCTAACATGCATTTGACTATAACCTGGTGTCGTGCGATTTCTGACCTTGTCCACCCCAGTCCAACAGCAGCACCTCCACACCATGGCCATCATTATCACAAACATCCTTATAGCAAAACTTAAAGCCCACTGGTTATTTGGCTCCAGCTGCCTTACTGCACAGACATTCCTTGGGAATGCGATAGTATTCCATTCCAGATGTGCTGATTCACTGGAGCTGCTCTGTTTTATTAGTACCAATGTACTTGAGAACTACACCTGAGGGAATTACTGCATCCATGATTTTGTCCTGCTGGGATAAACCCATGTTACACCTACTGTACTCCATGCATTAATTACAACATACAGAATAATGGGCAGGAAATGATAAGCAGGTAGATCAAGTCTACTTTTATACAATAGCGCAACATTACGACTGAACATTTTCCACTCCCAACTCCCCATTTAATTTTCTTGCAGCAGCGAACAAAATTAAGGCAAAAAGCCTCAAAATTTAATTTGTCCCCACCCAAAAGTTCAGATTACATTGACCAAGTATGAACCTTTAAAGATGCTTAGCAGGGTATTGTTTACTTATATTTCTCACGTAATAACCAGTATTGTTACCTTTCATTTACTTTATATTTTTGATTGGTCTTCACTTCTAATCATAACTCATCATTTTACTATTCTAACATGCAAATAATATAGTTTTATTACTCGCACTGCAGTAGATTCTTGGTTTGAACATTTTTATTGCAGACCACAGTTACAAATTTAGAGTCAAGATTAAGAGTGTACTGCGAAGAGACTTGCAATTCCACTTGATCTATCCAATATCTCTGGAATCAGAGACGGCTGATCACCTTCTCACTCAATGAAACTGTGGTAGAACACTGTCCTTTCACTTTAGTTCAAACATTTCCTACAAAGGTTGGATCAGTGATGGCTTTGTTAATTTTTCTTCAGGAATGTTTCGTAAGGTCCATTTCAGCAAGGCTCTAATGAACCCCAATATCCTCCCTATACTGCCTGATAAGATACTTATGGGATACCTCTCAGCTATTCCTAACTACCATGACTCATACAGAAACTTTTAAGCATTGAAATCAGCTGTTTTGTAGGAGACACTTTCTTGTGGCACTACGAAGTCCGACTATAGCGATAACAAGAATGGGGTAACGGCCAGCTCTCCTCTGGCCTATCACACAAATGGAAACAATATTTGTTTTGTCTCAGGTGAATGAATTGTGGTTTTGCTAACCATGATTTCAGCTAGGGCAAGTGTTGATACAAAGCCTTCCTGAGATCATGCATCTCCCAGCATATCATGACACAGTTTAAATTCATTTAAAATCCAGGTCCCATTTTAAAATTATTTTTTATTAGAATTCAGCAGTTAAAAAATTTACTTTTGTAGCTTTCCCACAGACAATAAAGCAATGTGACACCAATATGTTGGTCATTCTACAGAGTGCAAAGAAATAGAAAACAAACATGGCCTCTTCAATAGCTCAAACAAAATTCCATTAAAAACAAAGGCACTGGTTTGAGTCCTCATCCATACCCCTTTTTCTCATCCACATAGCCATTATGAAATGCAGCATTTTTAACTTCTTGCACTCTTTGGTTTATAAGTGGCTGTATGATGAGAACTTTCTCAGATCCATTGGCACTGCTGGTCTGCAGAAGCTATTGATCAGCTGGATCGAAGGCAAAGATAAAAACATCTATTCCATCTTGCGTTGCACATGGACTGGAAAGGGGCAAGACAGTGAATGGCACAGCTTGGTTCTGGAATTGGACATACATCCTACTAGAAACATCCAATTAAATGATTTAAATGAGTCTTTTCACATTTTGAGTTTATTCTGGTTAAAAAAAAAACTGAATTAGGGCATCTAGAAACAGTGGCTTGGTCCATCTGCAACACTTGCTTGAACTGCTGGTGTCAATCTCCCCAGTGTAAATACTAGAATCTTTGAGATACAGGATTAGAAATTATTCTGCCGACAAGATTAAACACCATTTGATCCAAAATTTGACAATTCTAAAAAAAAAAAGCCCCTCTTCCCCAGAGAAGTAAAACAAACCTGGTTTGATTTCATTGCTCCTGGGACTTTGAGGGAGAGGTTAGTTAAGTACAATATATAATGAAAGACTGAGCTATTTGAATACTATTCATTTGGACTTTCTTGGATTGGCGCTGAGTCGTTTTCATTACTCGCATTAGTTGTTTTCAAATTTGGAGTAAGAATTTGGTTCCTTGAACAGGCCTGAAATAAAAGCAAAAATCAAAGTTAAGATTAACCAACCTTACTTGCATATTTTATTAGTCAACTAAGACAATTTCACTTGTGAACGGACTCTCAATGGGTGCATACCATGGGCCAGGGCACTCAAAGGAAATTTTAGCAGGTGGTATGTTCTACCCATGAATTAAAATGCCCTTAACATGATAAGCCCATGATTTCCTGACCAGCACTGCCAGTCAAACTCTCAAATGAAGAATGAATCCTACATGGACAGACGCTGTTCTATTACATGACTACCACTCTAGCAAGTCTTTCGGTTGAATGAATTGCATCCCTTATGGTTCTTCCCACTTCACTCTCCAGGTGGCCTACAGACTCCCAACTATATTCTCTTTCAACCTCAATCACTTGTAGCCACTTTTATATCCTTCCTCAGCTAGCTTGCTTCCAACCTGAGGTGCATTTGCTGCTTGTACAAAATATTCAAGTTAACCTTTCAATTGCACCATGTTGCTGGAAATAGGGCCAGAATGCAGCATTACAAAGGTGCTACAGTTCTATTCAACCCAATCTGAATTTTTGAAGCTTTCATGGTGAGCAGTAGAGTGGAAGGAACTTGACTTCTGAAGTGTAAATGAAATTTAGAACAAAAGATTGAAATCCATTGTATCATTAGAACTGGATATGCAGAAACTAGAAAAGTACATGAGGGAGAAATGAATTGAATGGACATTTATGCTGACAGGGTTAGATGGAAGCATGAAGGGAGAAGGTTTACATGGAGCATTAAGGCAAGAGCATCTAAGCTGAATACTTTGTTTGTGCTGTAAAATCTAAAGTGACTATTTATTGCACCAACTGCTTCCAAATATCATGAGTTAATGACTGTTACAAACAAACTACAGCATAGCTTGGTTGAACATTTTGTTGATGGAAGCAATTAAAAACAATTCCAAAACAGGCATCCTCACCATATTTCTTCCGGATTTCATCATGCCTGACTTTCATTTCACTTTTCCTGAAATACAAACAAAAAGGACGTTTGAAACAATGCCAAGTGATTAGACCAAGAACTTCAAACAATACACCAGAGTAATAACATGAGATTCTATAGCAGTGTGCAGAAGGCTCAGTTTTATTGTCCCTTACTGCATTGTCAATCCTCTGCCATCCAAGATTAATTGTGGCTACTTCAGCAACTTTGGGTAACAAGAGCAGATATCAAGATATTTAGGAAGCCATTAGATTTTGTAATGGGTAAGCGTTTGCCAAAGCACTGAGGATGAAGGTAGCAGATCATAACTGGAGAGGAGAATCTGTAGTGTAGGCAGTGAGGCCTTTTGGGTATTTATGTCAGGTGGTGAACACACCCCAGAACGATGGAGATGATTAATCAAAATTGCAGATAATGTGCAGGGCACAGTGAATGAAGTACGTGGGATCACGTGGACGACAGGGACAGATTTATATCCCTGAAAATTTTGCCAAAAACAATAACGATCCGACTCAAACAACTAACAACTACCTGTTTTATTCTTATCCCTACCTTTCTTCTTGCCGCATCCTCCTCTGCTCTTTTTCCCTTTCCATTTTCTGATCTATGCTGTTGTTTCTAAACAAATCAAAGAAATAGGTTTTTAAAGAGAGACATGCTTCGACAAAAGTTCCCAAATGCATTAAAAGTACATTCATTTTTAACTTGCTTAGTTCGATGCAAATATACTTTGTAACTTACTGACTATACCCACAAGATGCTGATACTGGGAGGTTAACAGAAATCATAAACACGTGGAAATTGCACTTCAAAGGCTAGAAGAACACCAGGAGCCCAGATATCATAGCAAGGATGTAAAGGTAGTTGCAAATGATGGTATTCTACCCATCCTTCATACTATTGTTTTTATGACTCCTTTTAACATGCCTTAATCATCCTTGCTCCAATTCACAAAAGTTACCAGACATTCTCCAGAGTGATCATGTATATTGTTTGGACTCAAATCTTCCAGTATTATGTGAACGTTTAGGTCAGTGTTTGGAGGTGGTCAGCACTGGGTCAGTATAGATAATGAGTTCCACCAAACAAAAGCCGATAAAATAGCAATTCCCAAGAGGTGGTGCAACTCTACAATTTGCACCCTTCCTCAATTCCCAGAATGATCCAGAAACCTGGACTAATGATCTGGAGGTGAGTGTAATTATGGAATAAAAAATTGGTATTGGTAACAGTGACTACAGTAGTATCATATTGATAGAAAAATCCAGCTGGTTCATTATTGTAAACCTGCTACCCTTACCCTGTCTGGTTTTTGTGTCTCCAGGCCCACAACAATGCATCTGAATTTTAAATACCCTTTGAAATAGTTCGGCAAGTCATAATGAAACCCGCAATGAGAAAGGACTAGTGTGGTTCAAAGTAGCTGGCTATCATCTTCTCAAGGTTAATTAGGCTTGGGCAGTAAGCGCTGGTCTTTACAGAGACACTCAACTCATGAATGGATTTTTAAAAAAAAACACCATGAAGTAAAGTGTTTCTCATCCTTTCAACTGGACTAACCAATTAACCAATATTTCTGTGTTACCCGTAAAGTAGTAAACATCCCAAACCATTTCCCAAAATTTGACATTAAGCTACAAAATTAGGACAGATGACCAAAAGTTTCAAGTAGGTAGAGAGGTGCAGATGGGTTTTCCAGGGGTGAAAGCAAGGACCCAAGGGTAGAGTAGTTAGAATCAGGGATACTCAAGGGCAGATGGTGGCAACTATTAATCTAGGGGCTCAGGACAATGCTGTAAGCATGGGTTCAAATTCCAACAGAACCCCAGTTCTTTTGCCTTCTCCCTATAACCTTTGATCCCCTTACTAATCAACTAGCTTTTGTGGCAATGAGTTCCACAGATTCACCATCCTCTTGCTGAAGAAATTCCTCCTCAATTCAGTGCTAAAGAATCAGCCCTTCACCGAGGTTGTGCCCTCAGATGCCAGTATTTCCTACTATTAGAAACACCTTCTCCATGTCCACTCTATTCGGGTCTCTCAGTATTCTGAGAGTTTCAATCAGACTTCCCCCCCATCCTCCTGAATTCCAGTGAGCACAGACCCAGAATTCTCAACCGCTCCTCATATGATAAGCCCTTCATTCCCAGAATCATTCTTGTAAACCTCCCCTGGGCCCCCTCCAAAGCCAGCACATCCTTTAGATATAGGGCCCAAAACCGCTCACAATATTCCAAATGTGATCTGAACAGAACCTTGTACAGCCTCAGTAATACATCTTCTGCCTTTGTATTCTAGCCCCTTTGAAATAAATGTGAACATTGCATTTGCCCTCCTAACTGCCAAGTGAATCTGCATGTTTTAATTTTACCTGCATCTTTTAGTTGCCATCCTTCTTTAAAAATGCATGTGATTTTCTTTCAACCATTCCAGTTGGTTGAAAGTTCCACATTCTCAGCACTTTCCAGATAAAGAAGCTTTTCTTGAATTCTTTATTTATTAGTGATTTCATCATATTTAAGCTCTCTTACTTTGGACCTCTGCACATATTGAAACATCATCTCCATTAACTTATTGAATCCCTTCATAACTTTAAAAATATCAAACAGGTCACCTTGAAGCCTTCTATTTTCCAGAAAAATAACATAGATCTGTGTTCACTCTTCCTTGCCTTGAGCGGAGACATAAAATTATATATAATTTTATCAAATAGTGTGTCTACGCTGACCAAAAGCATTCTCCCAATTTTATTCCCTTCAAAGAGGAACACTATGAAATGTGAACTGAATACTCAGATGTCCAATGGCATACTTATAGATGCAACAAGTCAAGAAGCTAAAATGGAAGCCCACACGATTCAGTGCTAGCTCACTCTAGGTGTCAGATAGAAGACAAAACACTCACTTCTTGCTTTTCCGACTCCTGCAGCAGCAGCAATAACAGCAGATACACAGCGACAAGATAAGGATTCCACCAACCACTGACATAGCAATGATCAAAGCTTCAAAGTTCACTGCAAAAGACAAAAGGGTTTTGTTTAATACATTCAAACCATTTGAAAATGGTATTTTATTCAGCCTTTAAACATGATTCTGGAAAATCAGAAGAGAACAGCTCACAAATTCAATAAAGTAGATTTTCCCCTCCTTGTCACCTGCTAACGTGTGGAAAAATCAGACATGTTGCTGATGTAAGGAGCAGTACTTCCCCCACTGCAGGTGCCTGGGGTGTGCAGCAGCTCAGAAAATTGATCCTTAGTATAAATTCAAAAACCTGTTAAGGAAAGTTGGCAGACAAAAACAAGCTGTAATGTCTCAATTAGGAAATCTAGCTCAATTAACTAGGAAGTAAAGCAATAAAGACAGGCTCTCAAATGTCTCAGGAGTCACACGCTGATTTGATGAGTTTCGATTCTGGCAACTGTGTTGAGTTGGTGCATCCCCAAGCCATTTAGGGTCTTGCCTTTTTTACCCTTGTTTCCTTTGATTCTACACTAATACAGCAGCTTTAAAGATTAGTTGATCGCAAGTTATAGAGTCAGAGTAATACAGCATGGAAGCAGGCCCTTTAGTCCAAACTGGTCCATGCTGACCATGGTGCCCACTCAGCTAGTTCTAATTGCTTGCATTTGGTCCATATCCCTTGTAACACTTCCCATCCATGTACTTATCCATATTTTTTTTTTTAATGTTACTACTGTACCTGCCTCAACTACTTTTTTCAGCAGCCCATTGTGTATATGCACTACTCTCTGCATGAAGAAATTGTCCCTCAGGTCCTTCTTAAATCTATCCCCTCTCAGCTTAAACCTATGCCCTCTAGTTTTCAATTCCCCATCCCTGGGAAAAAGACTATATGCAATCATCCTATCTATGCCCCTCATGATTTTATACACTCAATAAGGTCACGCCTCATTCTCCTACGTTCCAAGGAACAAAGTCCTATCTTGGCCAACCTCTCCCTATAACTCAGGCCTACTCGCCCTGGCAACATCCTTGTAAATCTTCTTTACACACTTTCCAGTTCAACTATGTCTTTCCTACAACAGGATGACCAAAACTGTACACAATACTCCAAGTGCTGCCTCATCAACGACTTATACAACTGTAACATAACGTCTCAACTCCTGTACTCAATGCCTTGACTGATGAAGGCCAGCATGCTAAATGCCTTCTGCACCACCCTGTCTACCCGTGACGTCGCTTTCATAAACTATGTACTTGTACTTCTAGGTCCCTCTGTTCCACAACACTCCTCAGGACCTTACCATTTACTGTACAAGTCTAACCTTGGTTTGACTTTCCAAAGTGCAACACTCACACTTATCTGTATTGTACTGAATTGCATTTGCCAATCCTCAGCCCACTTCCCCATCTGATCAAGATCCCTCTGTAAATTTTGATAACCTTCCTCGTTATCAATGATACCTCCTAACTTTGTATCATCTGTAAACTTACTGATCATGCCTTGTACATTCACATCCAGATCATTTATGTAAATAACAAATAACAAAAGGTCCCAGTACCGATCCCTGTGGCAGTCACAGGCCTCCGGTCCGAGAAACAACCTTCAACCATCACCCCCTGCTTCCTACCGTCGAGCCAATTTTGAATCCAATTAGTTAGCTCTCCCTGGATCCCATGCGACCTAGCCTTCATGGCTAGCCTGGCATGCAGGACCTTGTCAAAGGCCTTACTAAAGTCCATACAGACAACATCCACTGCCCTACCCTCATCTATCCTCTTGGTTACCTGTTTGAAAAATTCAAAGATTTGTCAGACATGATTTCCTGCGCACAAATCCATGCTGACTATTTTGATTATCCCAATGTTGGTTGATCCAGTTCCTCCGTATTCCCTCCAATAAACTTGCCCACCACCGATGTCAGGCTCACTGGCCTGCAGTTCCCTGGCTTGTCTTTATTACGTGGCTCAACTAGACAAGCAGCAACCCCAGCTGTGTATACAGAAAAACTAAATCTTATTTGTGTCTGAAAATTAAAAATGCATTGTGCCAAACGATTATATCAGGAGCTGTGAAAAATAAGCAAGCCTGGACTAACAGTGAAAATTGGCACTGTCTATTCAGATGAATTGCCAAGTAAGAACTATGTGAATATAGAATCTTCATAGAACATAAAAGACAATCACACAAAGCTGAAACAATTTACATTACTTATTTTAAGCGTGCAGTGCCAAGTAAACGTCATGCAACAGGAAACAACCTGCATTTTTCACAAGCATGAATCGAACAATGCAACAGTTTGTAGTTACCGAGCTTAAAGTAGACATCACTAATCAAAACTTTTACGCTACTTGCTACATTCATTTGCTGGTTGGGGTTGACCAGTTGAGCAAGAATATTAGATAAAGTCTTGTAGGGATAATCTTAAACTTCGAATAGAATTCAATTTACCCCATGGAAAGCTTCTTGTTTTTGCCCCTCTATTCTTTATCTTGCAACTGCTTCTTTCTTTGCGAACAATTAACTTTCCTTGAAATCAACTCCCAAACTTTTGCTCGTGTTTCATTTAAAGTTATCTTCACGACAGCTAAACTTGAGATCAATAGGATCCTCTGCATAGTATTTGTGTTCAGTGTGATTACTTTAGAGCAACGGAGAATTACATCCTGTGCTTACATTGCTGCAATTAGAAAAAAATAATATTATGAAAAGAGAGCCTGCACTTCACCAAATAGAAGCTGATTTTGGCAAAGTAAACTTTTAAAATCAATGCACAGATGCAATTTATTGAGATCTGAACTGGAGAAATGTAGGAGTGCCTTTGGAAATAAATTGCTCTGGGTGACAGCCAGTTTCATGATGAGTTGTATGCGCATTGGATCAGCTTTAACAATTAAGGAAGAACATGTATGCAATACATCATCTGGCTTTTGCTACCTAGCGGCGTCATGTTCATTCCTTGAATGTTAATGATGCCTGCATTCCAAGAACCCAACACACCCAGTCTACCAGCCCCTCCTCCTAAGTCTGAATCCTGCCTGATCTCAGCATACTTTTCAATTCTTTCACATCACTAATCTCTCGATTAGCTAGCTGCGGGGAGACAACAAAGTGTCTTCTCCCTGAAGGTGGGGGTTTGGAGTCACAAGAATTACACCTTGGTTATCCAGTCTCACATGTACACCAAGACCAACAAGAGACAAGTGGAGAAATGGTACAATTATCCACTTCTCAAACTTAGAATAAACATTAATTATATATTTAGACTTGTTGTGCTCACTTGATTGTTAATTTAACACAACTAAAAACCCAAAGTTTAACTTTTGATTATTTCTTCTTACACACTACAATCCTCATCAACCAAGCAACAACCATCTTCAGCTGCTTCATTAATGACCTTCCCTCCATTATTAGGTCAGAAGTGTGGATGTTCACTAGTGATTGCACAATGTTCAGCACCATTTAACTACTCACTCAGATACTTGAACCATATCTAGGCTTGCGCTGACAAATGGCAAGTAATATTTGCACCACAAAAGTGCCAGGCAATGACCATCACCAACGAGAGAATCTAACCATCGCCCCTTGACATTCAATGGCATTACCATCACTAAACTCTCCACTATCAATATCCTGTGGGTTACCATTGACAAAAAAAACTGAACTGGATGACACATGTATATGCTGTGGTTATAAGAGCAGAGGCTAGGAATCTTTCAGCAAGTAACTCACCTTCTGATGCTCCATAGCCTGTCCACCATCTACAATGTACAATTCAGGAGTGTGATGGTGTACTCCCCATTTTTCTGGAACAGTGCAGCTCCAACAACACTCAAGAAGCTTGATATCATCCAGAACAAAGTAGCCTACTTCATAGGCACCACATCCAAAAACATTCAGTCCCTCCACCAAAGATGCTAAGTAGCTGCAGTGCATAATATCTATAAGGTCCATTGCAGAAATTGACCAAGGCTCCTGAGACTGCACCTTCCAAATCCACGACCATCACCATTTAGAAGAACAGGGTAGCAAATACATGGGAACAGCACCATTTGCAAGATCCCATCCCAGCCTCTTGCTAGCCAGATTTGGAAACATCCAGCCATTCCTTCACTGTCATCATACCAAAATCATGGAACTCCTTCCCTAATAAACCTTAGTGCACCTACACCAAATGGTTTGCAGTGGTTCAAAAAGGCTCCTCACTACCACCTTCTGAAGGACAACTAGGAATGGGCAATACTGCCTGAGCAAGTGATGGCCATATCCAGTGAGTGAATAAAATAAATCCAGTACCACCACCTCTCAGCAGCCTACAACAACATTCCAGACATATTCGCCCAATCTTTAACTCAATTTGTGGCGCTAAGGGAGGTGTCATGTTTTGACTGAGATTATCAAACCAAAGCCCTCCTTGGGGAGACTGGAAAGATCCCACAGCTTTAGTTTAAACAATAGCACGGGAGTTCTCCCCAGTGCTCCACCCAATACTTATTTCACAAACAAAACCAAGAAAAGATTATCCAGTCGAACTGTGGCTTGTGGAAAGTTATTGTGCGCAAATCAGCTGCCACTTTCCCTTATTATCATTTCAATAAAGTAAGGTGATTGGCTGTAAGTGCCCCATAGACTTAAAGGTCATAAATAAACAAGACTTTAATTTGCAACTTTGCAAGTAGTTTGGTATCTGTGGGTAAGGAGGCCTGTACTAAGACTGCAATAGCATAATTGCAATGAACAATCATAGCTTATGGTTAATGAATAATTGTTACAAAACTATCCATGCGCACACACTATTATGCCACATAGGAAAGATGACAGAATGTCAGACCCACACTGTTCATGCAGATTTCTGTCAATTGCCCTGGAAATACAGGAACTGTTTGGTGGTGTAATGAAAATTATTGAAAAATGATACATGGCTGATGAAAGTACTGAGATTACATTGTTAGTGGGTTTGATGCATGTATCCATTTGCACTTCTGGTTGGTGATTCACAATAAACTAGTCCTGTGAAGGGCGCTGGAATTTGAATTTTAAAAACACTGTTCTTCTGTGCACATTTGCGTCAATGAATGTTGAAGTTTTGTCTCCCTTTTCCTGGGTTCAACTGCTGATTTCCCTTTGAACCATGACTAGATGAGTGTGCATATCCCTCCCTCATTACCATTTTTAAGGCTTCCCAATCTCCAGAAAAAGAAAGTCAAACTAGGAATTCAATCTAATTCTGGATAAAAATGCTAAAATCCCATTACATTACTGAAGTCCAAGAAATAACTGCAGATCAATAGAGAAATTCCAAGAGATTTCACAGCCACTGCTGAAGTTGCATAAATGATAAACCTAGCAGTAACACAGGAGTGATTAGAATGTCAATGCTGGAGGGAAGCAGGAAATGACACTGTTTTCCACCACTTTTCAGTCAGCCATAACAAACATTTAGCACCAAAAAGTTCTCTTTTCCTCAGAAAGAACAAGCTCTTTGCTCAATTTCAATGCTACATCTCACTCCCCTGTAACCTCTGGTAAAAATGTGTGACAGTACGAAAGTAAAAACAAAATACTGACTTTTAAAGAAACTCAGTGCCAAAAGCAAGGGGAGTTCTGCAAACTGCAGTTCTGCTTTTTTGTGAAATGGAATTCTTAGTCACACTATTAAGCCATGTTATAATAAGGCAACTGAGAACATAGGCAATATATCTATTCTACAGCAGTAGCAGAACAGATTCTGTTTTCATAGATCATAGAATCCCTACAGTGTGGAACCAGGCCCTTAGGCCCAACAAGTCCACACTGACCCTTAGAGCATCCCACCCAGACTCATCCCCTTTAACCCACACATCCCTGAACACTACGGACAATTTAGCATGGCCAATCCACCTAGCCTGCACATCTTTGGACTGTGGAAGGAAACCGGAGCACCCAGAGGAAACCCATGCAGACACGGGGAGAATGTGCAAACTCCACACAGACAGTCGCCTGAAGGTGGAATCAAACCCAGATCCCTAGCGCTGTGAGGCAGCAGTGCTAACCACTGAGCTACCGTGCCACCCCTAAATGATATGAGATCTTGTAATTGTTTGTAATCAATCTATTAGGTCCTGTCAAAGCTCACTTATAGGATAGTTACGACTTTGCTCCACCTTACCACCCCATACAAGAGAGATTCATTTGAAATTTTGGTTAGAGCCATTTAAGTACCATTATGGGCAGAAAATTACCTGAAAAGTTTCAGAAAAGGAGCTGAGGAAAAGAGAGAAAATTTTGGACAGGAAAGTAAGTTGGAGAGGAAAATAATTTACATGATCACCAGTGAAAAGATTACACCACCAGTGAAAGAAAGTGAAGTTAGACAGTCAACAGTTCAATAGGAATAATGTAAAGAGAGCAAGAGGTGGGTCTCATGAACAACCTGAACTTAGAAAGAGGTGAGAGGAACTAGACAATGATGTGAAATCAGGTCACTGGAGAGAAGCAGCGGAGACAACTGAACTATTAGTCTCAAGCTTGGTGCACAAGATGATTTTCGCACTGGTTATTGGAAAGGGAGGTTAGATGGAGCAGAGACGAGTGGCTTGAGATATTTGGTAATGGAAAATGTAGGTTGGGAGAGAATTTTTTTTGCAGAGGAAAACAATGACAAAGTGAGGCAGTGGTTGAATCAATCTACAGCTAAAGTAGTAACAAGGCAAAGACGTGGTAGTTTTCAGATTTGAAGTGCAGTTGGGGAGAGGGGAAAAATAAAAGAATTTGCTCCCTGCTGGTAGATTCAGAAGGAACTAGGTCAGAGGGATGTGGATGGCAAAAGCACTTGAAGTTGGCCTAGTTTATAATCAGGACTTTTGAATTTAAATGGCTAACATCAGGTAGTGGCAGTGAAGGAGTATGAGAACTCTGCCTAAAAAAACTTACGAAGGTCAAGGGGATAGTATCAAAGAAGAGAGGGAAAAGGCAAGTTAGGATAGAGATAGTAGGAACTGCAGATGCTGGAGAATCCGAGACAACAAGGTGCAGAGCTGGATGAACACAGCAGGCCAAGCAGCATCAGAGGAGCAAATAACCAAGTCTGAAGAATCTGCTGAATGTTGAGACCAAGGGAGGGAAGGGCAGAATATTTTGCATTGAGAAAGTGATAATGGTGCTGGATCCACTGTTGTTTGTCATTTATATAAACAATTTGGATGAGAATATAGGAAGCAAGGTTAGTAAGTTTGCGGAAGACACCAAAATTGGTGGTATAGCAGACAGTGATGAAGGTTATCTAAGATTATAAAGGGATCTTGATCAATTGGGCCAATAAACTGAGGAGTGGCAGATGAGTTTAATTTAGATAAATGCAAGGTATTGCATTTTGGTAAGATGAACAAGGGCAGGACTTGCACAGTTAATGGTAGGGCCTGGGGAGTGCTGCAGAACAGAGAGACCTAGGGGTTCAGGTACATAGTTCTTTCAAAGTTGTGTCGTAGGTAGATAGGGTGGTAAAGGAGGCCTTCATTGCTCAGAACTTTGAGTATAGGGGTTGGAACGTCAAGTTGCAGTTATACAGGACTTTGGTGAGGGCACTTTTGGAGTATTGTGTTTCGTTCTGATTGACCTGCTCTAGGAAGAATATTATTAAATTGGAAACAGTGCAGTAAATATTTACAAGGAAATATTTATCAGGACTGGAGAGATTGCATTATAAAAAGAGGGGGTGGATAGCCTGGGACTTCTTTCCCTGGAGCACTGGAGGGTGAGGGGTGACCTTGTCGATGTTTAGAAAATCACAAGGAGCATGGATAGGGTGAATAGCCAAGGTCTTTTTCCTAGGGTGGCATTGGTACCAGAGGGCATAGGCAAGGTGAGAAGGGAAAGATTTAAAAGGAGCCTGAAAGGCAACTTTTTCACACAGAGGGTGGTTCTTATGTGGAATGAACTGCTAGAGGAAGTGGTAGATGCAGGTACAGTTACAGCATTTAAAAGACATTTGGACAGGTACATGAAAAGGAAAAGTTTTGCGAGATATGGGCCAAATGCAAGCAAATGAGACTAGTTTAGTTTGGGTAACTTATTTGGCATGGACAAGTTGGGCTGAAGGGTGTTTCCATGCTGTATGACTACGACTCAAAGTATTACTGAAGCAGCATTTCACAAGATTGACAAGAAACAAAAGATTAATAAATTGTTGGCCACTTACCCCAACAGACACCCCATCGTGCATCAGACAGTGGACATAATTTCTTTGGCGGCAGGATTGTCCTCACTGGGTAGTCAACACATTTTTTGTCGGCATTGCACCACAGACACTAAGATTAAAGCAAGCTAATTAAAACCTATGTGCACACAGCACTGGTGTCAAGTGAATTGAGCGAATATGTATTTGCACAATTCAGTAATCCATCAAGACTCAGTACCTCTCTGCATCAAAACTGGAAAGCCTGTTCAAGTCAAATCAAGTGTTGTGGTATATAAATGTCCTGATTTAAAACCTAGCTGATCATGTATTGTTGTTCAGCACTCTGGGGAAAAAAAAAGCTGAGACTTTGTGCTCAACCAAATTTACTGAAGCTTCATTTCCCCTTGTTTGGAAGCAGCCTACACTGCAAATCAGAGAAAGATGATATATAATTTTGGCTGGAGTTCAGGTTTGCTTAACTCAAAAGCTATGATGATTATTTTACAGTTCGTGAAAACAAAAATATCTTTCTGCACTGCACTTGAAATGCTGCATCAAATGTTAGCTGTTGTTGCACTGTAAACTGCTTTGTGCTCAGTTTAACAAAAAGGAGGTAAAAAGAAATTTGAGGATATCAGAATTGAAAGATCACAACTTTAGGGAAGTTGAACAAGCTGGGGCTCTTAGGAAGAGAGAAAGCTAAGAGTTGACCCGAAAGGAGTCTATAAAATTAACCAGATGTTCAGCAGATATAGAGAATGTCTTTAGAATTCTAAAGAAGCTCAAATCTAGAGATCAGAAACCTAAAAGTTAATCATTCATAAACTTAATAAAGAATTCAAGAGAAATTTCCTTGCCCAGAGCGTGGAGATGATGCAGAGCTTGTTACCACCCTCGGGAATGGTTGAAGTGAATAACGCAAATACCTTTAAAAGGCAGCTAAACACAGGGGAGTAAGGCACATAAGGGTTTATTGATTTTAGATTAAGTCAATGGAATGGAAGGCAAGGCGGTTTGGTGGAAAATAAATACCAGTATGGGCTGGTTCAGCCAATTGGACAGTTTCCATCTTCTAAATTCTATGTAATATGGGAAGCAGCAGTGTGCTTTTTGCGTGCATAATGCTGATAAAGTGCTAGATCAACACATGCTACGGCAGTTTTGAAATATTACAGATTTCTCAATTCAAGTACCAATATTGATTCTGTTAAAAATTCTGAACTTTGCAGTTTGACTGCTTATCATTTCTGCTGCACTCCCACTTTTAAATACAGTGGCAGACTTGAGCTAAATTACTCATTTTAAATTACAAGGAGAATGAGGAGTTGAGAAATTCCTTGAGAGAGGGGACTGTTGAAAGACTGCAGAAAGATTTACCACTACAACTGAGCAAGTCACTGACAAGTGAATCTCTTGTTGAAAGTTTGGATAAATATTTCAAATAGCCGAAGATACAAGGTTTCCGGCGAGAGACCAAGGCAGCATAATCAGTCTTAGACTGATCCACACAGACACAGGAGGCAAAGTACCCCATGCATACCTTGTGGTATAAAAACTTACAGATCAATGGGAATTCTGTTCATATTGCACCCTTATAAATGCTCTAGGCCAGTACTTAGTTTCTACTTCCTCTCACCTCAGCCTGATGACACATCCTTCCAATATCACAAACATTAGTTAAAGTGGGCAATGGGAATGCAACAATTAATTACGGTACTCACCGAAACATTTTTCAGACATTGCTCACAGTTGATGTTGCTGGGATCACTACAACCTGAACCTGAAAGAGAGATACATACTTAATGTCACTTTTTAAAAGAAGTTCAGAATGGAAGAACGGCCTCATTTGCAAAGGATTAAGCCAATGATTAAGCCATTTCTCCTCCAACCCAGGGACATGTCTATTCCTCTTAATGCATCTTTAAACTAATCATTATGTCATATCCTGCTTTCTTACCTGATACTTTTACTCATTCATGGGATTTTGAGCATTGCCAGCAAGGCTACCATTTATTGCCCAAACCTTGATAAGCTGATAGCAAGCCTTCACCAATGGATAGTGAACTAAAAGGGTTTTTAGGACAATCTGGTAGTTCCATACTCAACATCACAGATTTCTTTTAATTTGAATCACTTAATTAATTGAATTTAAATTAGTTTGGGAAGTATGCTTTGAAATCAACAAATGGAGACTTGTTATCAAATGGTAACTGGGACAACAAAAAAAGTCACCGGTTATTTTTTTTTCTTCATCCCCTTTTGCCCATGAAGAAAATGTTCAGTTTAGCACCAGTGCATTCATCCACGGTTGCTTACTGAAAAGCTTCACTTTTTTCTCCCCCCAAGTTGATGGGTACTTGGATAACAGGTCTCACCATGCAAGAAATGTCAATACTACAGCAGAACAGATTTCTGTTGTAAAACACTCCAGACGAAATCCTGAAGAATTTGCTCACAAATGCATTCTGAATGGTTGAGGTTTTAAGAGATAGCATTTTATTTTTCGTTGTGCAGTGGAGAGTTCAGGAACTGAGACAGCTGCATGTACCACTGAGACATGACAGAGGTTTGCCATTTCCAGCAATCAATCCAATATCAGTTGTGACTCTGTAGGTAGCACTCCCACTCATGGATTTAAGCCTCACTTCATAGACGTAAGTGCAAAATTCAGCCTGCCGCTCCAGTGCAGCTCTGAGGAAATGCTGTAGTGTTAGGGGAGATGTCTTTCAGGTGATACAGTAAACCAAAGTCTAGTCTGCCCTCTCAAATGGACGTGACTGACCTCATGGCACTATTTTGAAGTCATATCTAGTATGAGGATTACTATTTATCCCAGAACAACCATCAGAAGATCAAATAGTCCAACCATTATCCTGGAAACGGTCTGGATCATTGCTGTGTGCAAACTGGCTGTTATGTTTCCAACATTATAATAGTCACCATGTTTCAAAAGTGCTTCATTTCACTGCATAGCTCCTTAAGACTCAAAGTTTGGATTTTGACACTAGTTCTGATCTTTAACAATTCACAATCACTGAGGATTGATTGCACAATTACTGGGAAACTTAAGAATGTCATCTGGCCAGAAAAACCTGAAAAAGGAATCAACGCAATTTGCAACAGCAACCCAGCGACAGTTGCACACAGACAATTATCAAATTTCTTTAAAAATTCCTTCTGACAGTCATGGTAATAGAGGAGAACACAGTCGTACAGCATGGAAACAGACCCTTCAGTCCAATTCATCCATGCCGACCAGATACCCAATCTAATCTAGTCCTATTTGCCAGCATTTGGCTCATATCCCTTGAAACCCTTCCTATTCATATTACCCATTGAGATGCTTTTTAAATGTTGTAATGGTACTTGCCTTCACCATTTCCTCTGGTAGCTTGTTTCATACATGCACCATCCTCTGTGTGAAAAAGTTACCCCTCAGGTCTTTTTTAAATCTTCTGCCCCTCACCTTAATCCTATGCCCTCCAGTTTTGGACTCCCCCACCGAAGGAAAATGACCTTGGCTACTCATCCTATCCATGCCCCTCATGATTTTATAAACCTCGATGAAAGCAAGCGTGCCAAACACCTTCACTACCCTGTCTACCTGCTACTCCATTTTCAAGGAACAATGCACTTGCACTCCTAGGACTCTCTGTTCAGCGACACTCCTTAGGGACCTACAATGAACTGTGGTCCTGCTGGTTTACTTTACCAAAATGCAACACCTCACAGTTATCTAAATTAAACTCCATCTGCCATTCCTCAGCCCATTGGCCCATCTGATCAAGATCCGATTGTATTCTGAGGTAATCTTCTTCTCTGTCTATTACACCACCAACTTTGGTGTCAAATGAAAACTTACAACCATGCCTCCTATATTCACAACCAAATCATTTATACAGAAGATGAAAAGCAGTGGACACAACACCGATCCTAGTGGCACACCGCTGGTCACAGGCCTCCAGTCCAAAAATCCACTCTCCACACCACTCTCTGTCCACCAGAATCTTCAAGCCAATTGTATCTAACCCACGTGATCAAACCTTACTAACTAGTCTACCAAGCGGAACCTTGTTGAACACTTTGGGAAGTCCAAATAGACAAAATCCAACATGAATGAGGTGGGTACACCAACAGGGCAAACAAGAATCAGGGAAACACACAACTGGGCAAGCTAGAGTGAGGGACAGCATACTTAAGGGGCAAGGGAAGCTGACAGAACAAGCAAGGGAAGCACATCAACAAAGCAAGCAAGACAGAGAGTGGGGATGTCACATCAACGGGTGCAAGAGAGAGAGACTGGGGGGGCCATCAAAACTGTCAGAGGAGACCCGTTAATGGAAGAAGCGGGAAGGGCGAGGTTAGGAGATTGAGCTCAAGGATCACCCATGGTCGCAATGAATGGTGGAGCTGGCTTGAGTAGTAGAATGGTCTACTCCTATCTTATACACTTGCCTGTCAACTGAATGATTGGGGTGACATCAAATCAACACAGCAACCGAGAGCACGGGAACGCAGACCAAGGGGGCGTGTGAGTGTTAGCGAGGCACATCAATAGGGCATGCGAGAGTCAGGGAAACAAGAGACTAGGAGACATGCAAAAGACAGTGACTGAGGAATGGGGGGAGAGAAGAAACATACATAGAAATAAGGTTGATATATAATCAGGGTGGAATGGGCTTAGACTTAACTATGATGCTCTCTACTCAACCACATTTGCACAAGAATTAAGGTCTTTGACAAAAACCTACAACACTGAATACTCTAATATTAGTTGCAACTAACGTGCATGCGCCCTGTTAACTGGGATTGCGAGCTGTAATGGAATGCTCTCAATGCTGCATGTGACAGCTAGAAAAAAAATGTCCATCTATGTCACATACAGGTGGGATTTATAAAATTTGAAGACAGTAAGAATTTATTTTCCCGGCTTCTGATACATTTGGAACTGTGGCTCCAGCAGGAGATTTGAAAACAGTGGGATTCTTTGGGAGAGCGGAGGCAAGGGAGACAGGTCACAGCAGGGTCCTGCGGCAGCGGAACGAACATGAGCCGGGTCCCGTGGTAGAACGAGTGGGCCAGGTCCCGCAGCTGTGGTGGAGTAATCGGGCTGGAGCCAGAGTGACAGCGGAGCAACGTCCTCGACAGAGGCTGAGCAGCCTCTTGTACTGGGGCTGGCTGGCGCAGACTCATGTTGGAGGGGGACTGGAACATAAGTACTTTATGGTCACCTTATAAAAAGTCCATATGTTAAGATGGTGCCGAGAGGCGACATTACAAATTTTTCACTGCACTCATTTGTGTGCACGTGACAATAAAGGCTAATTCTATTTCTAATTACTTAAAACCAACTAAGCAACACATAACAAAAAGTATAGCTAGTCCGATGCAAAATGGTGTCATTAAAATTACAAAGGTCAATGTTTACCTTTGAAAGTACCACATCCCTATAAAAAAATTTCCTACAACACGACCTTCAAAACTTAGAGATGATACACTTTAAAAGTTATGCATTCAAGACTGAACACCACGTATTTTTGTCGAACACTTCAAAATGGGTCTAGTGGCCTCTCTGCATCATAAGTTTCTACCAATAGAAAACTCTGGAACCATCAGCGAGAGAAGTTATAAACTAGTAAACATAATGTATACTTAGAAAGGTCACATTTGTACATAGCACACCCAGTAACGTTTAACAAACAGGCAGTATGACAATTTCTAAATTCAACACTTGCTTCCCATGCATAAACTTGTGTAATTTAAGTTAATCCAATATGTCGACCCTGTGAGAAATGGAATTCGATGAGATCTGTACAGACATTCTAGGTTCACTCATGAGTTTTATGTAAATTTACAATACTCCGTTTCTAAATGCATGCACTATATGAAACTTTCATTCATCAAAAGCAGCTATTCATATTCCCATGAACCTGTCAATTTCTCAACTTCATTTGGATTTGCAAAAATTATGCACCATGCTAAACCAACTCTTGACATCTAACAGGCAAAATCTTAAGGTGTGTCTGTACGGAGTGGAACTTGACTGAACCAACAATCCAGTGCAAAGGTGCAGAGGAAAAGTAACAGATCCATAACACTAACATTACAACTCCGGATGTAACAATTCAACTAGATTCAAAATGTTGCTCCCTTGACGAAGGAGGTATTCTGCTCAAATAACAGCAAATGAATCAATGGTCTCGTATGGAATGTCATATGTACTCAAGTAACAGTCAATATTATACAAGAGTCAACACTCCACCTTTGGCCTAAAATAACAATGATTTCTCATATACCTTATGTTTAGATTAAACCCCGACTTTTAGCAAAATAACCCAACATTTTGTATTCCTTGTGCTGGTGCAAATCTACTTGACTGAATCATAAAATAGTATACCATTGAAGGCAGCTGTTCAGCACCTCGTGTCTGCACAGATACTTTTGGCTCCTTTTACACAACCTTTGGAGGTGCAGGTGTGAGGAATGGTATTTAATCTGCCAAACTCTGACAGTGGAGCAATACGACAGCACGAATTTCAAACTCTGTAGGACGCTAGTCAGAGTCACATAGCACAGAAGAGGCCTTTCAGCCCATCAAATCTGCACAAACCTATACACACTATTCCAGTTTTTCAGTACTTGGCTCATAGCCTTGCTCATCCACGTAATTTTGTGGATTGGTGTGAGGATTCCTGGCTCTACTGCCCTCCCAGGCAACACATTCTAGACCCCACCATCCTCCATGTGAAGAAAAACTTTCCTCAAATCTCTTCTAAACCTCCTGCTCTTCCCCTTACAATATGCCCCTTCAAATAGAGGGAACCATTGCTTCCTAGCTACCCAGTCCGCCCCTCAATGTTATACACCTCAATCACATCTCGCCTCAGCCTACCCTGCCTCTCTTCATAGCTAAAATGCTCCAACACAGGCAACATCTTGGTGAATGTCTTCTGCACGTAAACGTCAACCCCCTATTTAGTGACTAAAAGCTCTATCTTACAAATGACTTATGGGCTGGAATTTGGAGATAAAGCAAGGTAGCAGATTTTTTTGTAGCACATACAGTCAAATCCACGTTTAAGAAACAAGAGCTGTGTGCACGCATTCATGCATGCACATGTGGGATTCAGCCAATTAAACTAGACCTTTTAAGCAGACATATCTTACCGGAATTTGGAGTAGGTGTGACCTGGCCCAACACTCCAAGGTTCAATCCAAGAAGAATTCCAATAATTCCTGGCAGCCAAATCCTGAGTCTCATCTTGTTATCCAGCTGTGAATTTTCAACACAGCAACTTCAAGGCCTGGTATTCCAAAAACAAAAATCAAGATTGTCAAGAATTCTATACATAAAATGTCTAAAAACCAATTAACAAAGTAACTACCAAGTTATCCACCCTCAGTTAGCAGCACAAGCAATTCCACACAAAAAGCACAAGCCACACTCAATTTGGGTTAACTCCTGACAATAATGTTAAGTAATTGTTAAGGAGACAAAGTAAATTCAGGCCTCTTTATCCTTGATTGCCTTTATTCCAGAACAGGTAGCTTTGTCTTCAGCTTCCAGGTTCTAGGCTTGAGAATTCGCTTTGGTTTTCAACACATCTTTCTGCCTTAATTTAAGGTTCTTCTTAAAATCATAAGATCAGGTTTTGGTCTATGTCCTGGTATCTCTAACATGGCTGTGTCCAATTTCTGTCTGACAGTGCTGGAAGTTGTGCGTTGGGACACTTTTACAAATACAACTTGCGTTGTTTAACTGGCTATGTCTATCATATTTGACCAAAAACAGTAATTAATTGCTTATAAAGCACTTGAAGTATTTCGAGGGTGAGATTATGATTTTCATAAATCTGCTCCTGTATTTGATTACTGCTATTTCCTAAATGCTTAGATCATTTTCACTGCATTTTAAATGGACATGGGTTGTGTATTTCAAAAGGAACAAAGTATTTTCCTGCATTTAACTGACTCCAATTTATTTTAATTGGTTCACAGAGACTATTATTGTTGCAAATTAGCAATGTATAAAGACCTTGGCAGAAATACTGAAAGGCATTCTTTCAAAAAGATAGTACTTTCCATGTAAATGCACTCACTTTGATGATTCAAACAAAAAAAAAAGACAAAGACTGATACTGGATGACACAGGACATCCCAATTTGGGTACAGCAGGTTCCCATTACAATAATGAAATAATGACCAGGTAGTCTGTTTTAGGTGTTGGGTGAGCAATAAATATTGGCCAGGAGACTGAGGATAACTCCCAATTTCTGCATCATAATAGCAACATAGCATCATTTGCATGGATCCAAGAGGGCAAGACAAAGCCTTGGTTTAACGTTTCAAACAGCACCACTGACAGTGCACTATTCCATCCACAAAACACCAAGTTACTGGGTGGAACTCAAGCTTTCTGACTCAAAGCGAGAATATCACCACCCCTACCCACTCGCCGACCCCTACCCTCTCGCCGCCCCCCTACCCCGACCCCTACCCCCCGACCCCTACCCTCTCGCCGCCCCCCTACCCCTACCCCTACCCCCCGACCCCTACCCTCTCGCCGCCCCCCTACCCCTACCCCCCGACCCCTACCCTCTCGCCGCCCCCCTACCCCTACCCCTACCCCCCGACCCCTACCCTCTCGCCGCCCCCCTACCCCTACCCCTACCCCCCGACCCCTACCCTCTCGCCGCGCCCCAGCCCATTCTGTCCATTAACCGCATCCCCCCAGTCGCTCACTGGGCCATATCTATACATTAAACCCCTGCCTCGCTGGGCCATAGCCGCACATTAAACCCCCCCCGGCCATATCTACATATTTTAAGCAACCCCCCGGTTTCTATCTGTACATTACTCACTCTCTGACACACTCCTACCTTTCCTCTCTCGCTCTCTCCGTCTCTGTCTCAACAACAACGGAAGCTGCGCGAGCATTGACGTCATTCCGCAGCGCAGGCGCACACCGCCAAAGGGCGAGGCCGGGGTGGGCCGTGAGAGCGCGTGACTTGCCCGGTGCCAGTAGCTGGGTAACAGCCCTGACCGGGAAAATCCTGTTGTTGGGATAACGTGGATTTGTTTCTGTTTTCCTGAATAAGATAAGGCATTCGCTTTTCATCTTCCACTCATCAGGACGATTGGCAAGAAGACCATCTTGAGGGGAAAGCCAACATTTACAGTAAATGAGAGGAGGATGAGAGTTGGCAACATTCACACTGGCCAATACACCTGACACCTTGGATTGATGGTTAACATTGAGGCTCTTTGCTCCCAAGGAACTAGTTTTATTACTGTTATTTTTGATATTATTACCTTATTTTTCACTGCATGTTATGGAGAATGCATTCAGGGACTCCTGCGGTTTACTCCGAGTCAAGGTGACCCCCTCCAGGCTCCCAGTCAATCTTTACCCCTTAGAAAACATCGAGACAATTATACATAGTCATAAAAACCGAAAGAACTGCGGATGCTGTAAATCAGAAACAAAAACAGAACTTGCTGGGAAAGCTCAGCAGGTCTGGCAGCATCTGTGCAGAGAAATCAGAGTTAACGTTTCGGGTCGAGTGACCCTTCCACAGAACACATAGCCATCATGGCCTTGCTGTTTATGGGACCTCACTGCCTGCAAATTTGCTGCTGCTTTTGGAGGATCTTTCCTGTCCTTCCTGGTGGGCAGATTGTGGCTCGTTTTAGCCATCTGATCAGAATGTCGGCTCCTCACTAACTGAGGTACTCCCTCAGACCTGCATTGGAATGTCAGCCTTTCTGCATTTTGCACTCGACTCTCTTTGGATGGCATTTGAACCCACATCCTTCTAGTTTTGAGGTGAGAGTGTCATTCTCTCACAGCTGATTCTTGAGTGGCTGTCTTGCTGGTTGGTTTTACTTCAACAGTCTGTTTTTTTAAAATGTGAGTTAGGCATCTGAAGCTTTTTGTTTCAGAAAGCCCAGTCATTGCATTTACATGATTACGTAAGGTGTGGGAGAGCTTTAAATTACATCCTTTAACGTAGAAGCCATCGAAATTCAAGCTTCAGTCCCTTACACCTGTTTTAACACTAATCTGTTCCCTGCCTGCTTTTGGATTAGGCAGCAGGAGGTAATCCTACACCATAGCAGAAAGATCAGGTCAAACGACATGCCCATATCATTGTTTGGCATGGCAGTCTGTAGCTACCAAGGATGTGCCAAGTTCATTTTGAGGAACAGGGAAGTATTCTTGGCAGATGTGAACATCTTAAAAGGTCTTGTTTTAAGTAATTGAGACATTATTCAATATTAACTAAATGACCCAGATAGGGAAAAAGAAGATAATAGTGTTCATCGTTTGCCATACTCTAGATTATAGTGCAATATCCCAAATTACCTGACCCTTTATATTACAGCATTTAATTGACTGTTTGATGGACATCCGAAAACCTCATAGTACAGATATAAATATACAGAACTGGAAGTACAGGAAAAGCAGCATCCCAGCAACATATGAGGGACATATTGAAGTTTAAAGCAGAGACTCAATATGGGATGGACAATAAGACCCTCCCACCATAGTACATTGAGGGGCTGGAACTGAGTGAAAATCCAAGAATTGTACACACCAGAGAATGTTTGATAAGAAATGTAAGTGTAGATATTTTCAAATCAACTTGTTGAGACACGTTATTGCTACACCTCTGGAGCAGGTAGGTCATGAACCCAGACCTCCTGGCCCAGAGGTAGTGGTACTACCAGTGTGACACAAGACTGTATATCTGCGAGTGCAGTGAGGCATCTCAGCATCACATACTGTATTGAAAGAAATTTAACATTTTGCACTTTATGTGGTGTCAAATTTGAACTTTATTTAATGTACCTTTACAAATTTTAAATGTTGAAAAATATGTGCGTTGGTTAGCTCCATTGACTGGATGGCTGGGTTGCAATACTGAGTGATGCCAACAGTGTGGTTTCAATTCCCAAGCCAGCTGACATCACCATGAAGTTCCTGCCTTCTTGATATTGCGCCTCACCTGAGGCACCACCAGTTGTCCAACTTTACAAATGTTATGAATAAGTTTATTTTTAAGAAGTGTGCAAAAGCTGTTTTACATTGTTTGAAGTTGGGATCTGGAAGGTAGTGTTCCACCAATACTCAAGAAGCTTGACACAATCTGGGACAAAGCAACTTGCTGGTTGGCACCACATGTATAAACATTCAGTCACTTCACCCCAATGCTCAATTTATACCATCTACAAGATTCATTGCAGAAATTCGTCAAAGATTGTTAGCATCTTCCAAACTCATGACCACTACCATCTAGAAGGACAAGTGCAGCACCACCATCTGGAAGTTCCTCTTCAAGCTGATTACCATTCTGACTTTGTCACTGGGTCAAAATACCAGAATTCCCTTCCTAATGGCATTGTGGGTCTACAGCACATGGACTGCATCAGTTTAAGAAGGCAGCTCATCACCACCACCACTTCTCAAGGGCAAATAGGGATGGGCAATAAATTCTGGCCCAGCCAGTGACACCCAGGTCCCACACAGAATACAAAAAAAAAGCCTACTTTGTTTCTGTCATTAAGTCCATTTTCTGAAACCCAAGGTAGATCACGTGCATAAAAGCAATGTACTGTGAATGTGTCTATTCAAATGCTCATCTCTATTTTGACAGGGACTGTCTTCTCAATTGACATTATCAAAGCGACAGCACTCTGCTGCACACACGGAAGGCACCTCCCCTAATCTGTGGTAAAAGCGCAAAATGAAAGCAATTAAATGCAAATACCTGTGCACACCAAAACCACAGCAGTGACTAACCGTTCACACACCACTCTGTAAATCACATTGCAACAGTAAATAAACTCTTTTTACTGAACACTTCACCACTCCTAGAACATTATGACTCAGAAACAGTCCCACTTGCATACCAGAACTTAAAGATTGTAGGGATAAATGCAAGTCATCACGAAAGTCCTGGGAGAGTTGAAGCCAAAGGAATGCCACCTAGTGGAATATAGCTCCTCTGGTTCAGAGTGATACAATGTTCGATTGTTAATGCATGATGTTGAGAAATACCCGCTTCAACAAGGACAAGCACAAAGAACAATTGCTAGCAATGTTAATTGAGGAGACTGATCGTGTTCAGAGCAAAGATAAATGAGCATCCAAATTGTCACATGCATTCTTGGGTTGTCTCAAGTGAATCTTATGAGCTGGTCATGTGGAGTATCAACATAGTGTTTCCTTCTCGTGAGCTGTTAATGCCTTTGTGACCAAGATCCTTCTGTCATGGAGTTTGGCTGAGAGTCAGTTATACATGCTGAGGGCTGACTGCTATCCCTTTCACAACAACCGATGAAGGAAACACAGTGAGGCTATTCATTCTGACTCAAGCTGAGCAGAATGCAAAAGCGCAAAAATATTTTTAGAGGTTTGTTTTGTTCCAAATTGAATTTCTCTTGGGCAATCAAAACCAGTTCTGTCAATGAAATGGGGTCAAGTGTTACCTCTGCTTACAAATATTTACGTTTGAAGATCGACAGCTAAAAATGAACACTCCTCAATGTACACAGCCTCCAAGCGCACATGTATAAAACATGGAACAGGGAAAAAATAGATATTCTGATGACCAATGTGTCGTTGGTGCAGCACAGACTGGAGTTGCCCATAGGGACTGTGGGGAATCCTGACAGAGCTGACGTGGTGAAATTAAAGATTACAACTGGAAATTCCCCTGTGTTTAGAAGCCTCTCAGCAAGTCCATTAAAACGGCAGAATTCGGACAGTTCCCACGAAAACTACTGGAACTCCTGTGTAACCAGTAAACTGAACACCAGCCCCACAACTACACCTCACCAACCCTCCTGGAACCCTGACCACAACATCAGCTCCTAGTCGGATGCCCCACCCAACACAATTCCATCACATCCCAACCTCCCCCCAGACACACACCAGGGTCATGACACTCTCTACCACCAGACCAAACACCCATCCCACCACTGGTTTGACATCCTCAGACCCAACAACTACACCCCCAGGCCCAACTCCACCAAAATTCCCCAGACCAGATACACTATCATCTGACCCAACATCCCTGCTATTGGCCTGACACCCCATGCAGAGCTGACAACTTTCCATCAAACCTGAACCCCCCCTCCAACCCACCAAGCTGATACACCTTTAGATTCCACCGAAGGTAGCCCTGCAGTTAGAGCCAATGTCACCTCCCCCAACCCAAAAGGGGGTAATGCAAAAGGCTTCTTCACCTCTGTGGTACCCTCCTTACCTGACAAAAAGGCAACCTACTTCTCAGCATCCTACTCACCCGCAATCCTTCTAACTTGGGTCCTTGGCACGCTACTTAGCTGACACCCAACAACCTGACAGTCTACTTGGTACCCCACACAACTTGGAATCCTGGCAACACAGTTCCCTAGCACTCTGGCACCCAGTTTACCTGCCATCCCACTCACTTGGCACCTTAATGTACTTGGCACCCTAAATGACATGAAATCCTGGTAGCATACTTCCCTGGCACTCTATCAAACTGGTACCTAACCATTTAACTGTCTGCCACATGAGCCCCACACTTACCCAACATACTTAGCTTTTCACAGGAGCTGTCAAAACTGAATATGGTTCCTACATTGATTCTCTTCTCTGCTGGATTTCTAGCCAGGTTCAGGAAGGCAGCCCCTGTCCTTGAATCTCCAGCACAAAATCCATCTGAAAGTGAACAATTAATCCAATCGGGGATAGAGTAGGGTATCGGACCTTGATGGAAATATCTGGGCTCCCCCCCATTATATTTATGCATCTGAATCAAGCTCGGCCCATAGCAACTTTTTGGATAACTAAATATTGCAATTTTGAACCACACATGCATTGGACACATTCATGCTTGAACACATGCAAAGTTACATGTGTGTCTAAATACACTAGCACTCGCCCTGCACAGAAAACTATACCTACATTTGCCTCTTGGTGGACACATCTAGTCAAACATAAAGGCTCCAGCATTCAAGT